GGTTCTACGCCCCCCATGTGGATTTCTCACCTCTTTTTGAGGTTCAACCCCCATGGGTATTTTTCACCTCTTTTTGAGGTTCAACCCCCCTCATGGGGATTTCTCACCTCTTTTTGAGGTTCAACCCCTCATCATGGGGATTTCTCACCTCTTATTAACCTCCAAGACATCCCATCTAAGGAATACTTCACTGCCCCCATGGCTTTCTTTCCCTAGTCCCAACTAAGGAATGCTCTACTGCCCCTGTGATTTCTATCTCCTTGATATATCCTGACTAAGGAATGATTTACCACCTCACAGCTTTTTCCTTAGTCCTGATCACCAAGGGAATACTTTACCTGCTCCTGCGGCTTCTCCTTCCTTGATTTGTGCACAGAGTGGTTGTCGCAGTATGCGAGGATCCTTTAAGCTATGTTGCTGGCCAGTTATTTATTTATTTATTTTTCTGTGTTGCTGAGAGCTCAGATTACCCCTCGCACTGGGTGGGTCTTGATTTCTCACCCCTGAGGCTGCCACAAGGGGGCAGGGCACGCCTCCTCATGAGCGAGAACCAGAGACTGTCCCCAGAGGGGAATGTAATCCCAGACGAGCCCCCAAATTGTTATAAATAAAGTTTCAGTGCTACAAAAGAAATAGCACTTGAATATGACATTTTCTTTTCAATTCTCACCAAGGCAAGTTACTTCTATAGAAGGGTGTGCCCTTACAGATGGAGCAATGGTGCGTGCACACTTGGACAAGGGAGATGAAGGGGTTCTTATCCCTGACGCATGTGGCCCCTACTGCTGCATCATTCCCCTATTTGCTAGGGTTAGACCACACAGGATGGGCCTGGTGGCACATGCCTGTAGTCCCAGCTGCTTGGGAGGCTGAGGCAGGAGGATCATTTGAGCCCATAAATTTGAGGCTAGCCTGGGCAACATAGTGAGACCCCTGTCCCTGAAAAATAAATAAAACAAAACCAGTCCCTGATTTGGACCAGGATCTGAGGTTGAAAACAGAGGGTGCTTTGGATAGTGATTTGAAATTCCTAAAAGAGTGGCTCTCAGCCTTGCCCATGCATTGGAATCACCTGAGGAGTTTCAAAAACATTCTCATATTTGGGTCTCATGACTAGTGTTTCTATTTAGTTGATCTGAGGCGTGCTCTGGGCACTGTGAGTTATAGAGCTGTGAAAAGATCCAATGCACAGACGAACTGGAGAACCACTGTTTCTAGAGCAGGGTTTCTGAACCTCAGCACTATGGGCATTCAGCACCATGTAGTTCCTTGTTGTGGGAGATTGTCCTGTGCATTGTAGAATGTTTATCAGCATCTCTAGACTTTACTGACTAGATGCCAGGAGCACCCTCCCCAGTTGTGACAACAAAAAATGTCTCTAGACTTTGCCAGATGTCTTGGGGTAAGAGGGACAAAATTGCCTCTGTTGAGCACTGTTGGTCCTGAGCCATTGCTAGTAGTCCGGGCTGTGAAAGACATCTTTCAGAAAGAAAGAGAGAAGGTGGCTGTTATTGCACCCTTCTCTAAGAAAAAAAAATATGTATAAAGATGCCAAGGGGATCTGGCAGAAAATTCTCCTGTCATTGGAAGAAACCTAGTCAGGGTGCTTTCTGTTCTTTTAGGTTTTCTATTTCTAAGCAAAGAGATGGCATATTTCTTGGGGAGCATGGTAGAGGAAGGCATCTTAGAAAACAGGGAATTAAGAAAATGATACAGGAAACTTTCTAGCTGATCTGAGGCACAACAAAAGGAAATGAAATATTTTTATAATTAGTATGAACAGTCTGGCTTGGATGAAATCTTGCCTCCAGCTAAGGAGTTGCAGCCAGCAGTGGGGTGACAAAGTAAAAGGGCTTGGGTGCTAAGTGGATGTCAACCAGAAATGTTGCATTAGCCCTAGGAAGGCTTTGCAACCAAATTGAGAGTAGAGTGAGCTGAAATGGGTGAGAGTTGATATATGTGTATAAGAATAGCGTTAGAATGAAGTAATAAGGGGAAGGCTGGGGTTTGTGAATGAAATATTTTAGTGGTTGTCTTAGTTATTGGTTGAGAGAAGAGTCCAGGAAGCACCCTAGGAGAGTGGGGAAGTGAGAGGGAAGGGAAGGATGTGAATAATGGGTGCATTATCAAGAAGTTGCCATGTGGGCACTTGGAGTAGAATCCCTCTGGGAGCTGCAGAAAGTCAGGGCAGAACACAAACCTCAGAGGTACGAGGTGACAGAGCTGCTATATTAATCCATTAATTCCTATTTGTCATGGGTTAAAGGCTACATCCAAGGCCATTAATTCCTCAGCACTTTGGTTGAGTTCTGGCTTTGGCTTCAGGCAGAGTTGCCAGTGCTGGCAATTTCCAACTGGTACTGAATGGTGATTGCTGATGGGATGTAGGTAAGCCACTGGCAGCCTCTGCTACAGTGGTCAATTTTAAAACTTATTTTAAAGTACTGACTTCTTTGCTAGTTAATGTTTAATTTTTAATAGACTTTTTTATATGAAAGAATATTGGGACCAAGCATGCTGGCTCATACCTATAATCCCAGCACTTTGGGAAGCCGAAGTGGGAGGATAGTTTGAGCCTAGGAGTTCAAGACCAGCCAGGGAAACATGGCAAGATCTTATCTCTATAAAAAATAAAAAATCAGCTTGGTGTAGTGGTGTGCGCCTATAGTCTCAGTTACTCGGGAGGCTGAAGGTGGGAGGATCACTTGAGCCCGGGAGGTTGAGGCTGCAGTGAGC